TTCTTTAACGGTCGCGTATTCATTCATATGAACGTTAGAATATATAATTATTTGACAGCGCCCCGGTTGAGAAACGCTGCTACTACTGATTGTCTTGGATTGCATCCATGAAATATTGTATAGGCCTACTGCATATTGAGAAATCTTCGACCGGTATATTGCGCAATAAACGGGAGATGGGGACCCCCCGATTATTGACGGGTATTTCGCACACTGGCTAACACCCTATTTCAACAATCACACTCCCTGTAATTGACATAATTAATAGATAGTTTAGCTTCTCGTCATCAGTTGCTGTGGCCCACTGATGTTAACGATCGTAACTGAAAGGCTGCCTGCCAAACGTAAACATTCAGCCATGTGACATTCAGCCAAACTCTCGCGAGAGTTTTACACAAGACGGATACTTTCTAGCCATAACCTGGAGAACGTTCACCTCACGACAGCGGAGCTAACCAGGCAGGCAGTCCGGTCCTTCCGATTCCGAATGGAAAATGGAGGGAAAAGTGGCGGGCTGCTTGTGTATGCACATGCGCAGACAGGACAGTATATGTGGTAATTAAATTGTACATATTTTTTTCTAATGAGGCTACTTTTAAATGAATGAAATCAGCTAATTTTAAACAGTGACGATATATGTTAAGATTAATTAAAAAAGATAAGAAGGATGCAATAACACATTCAAATCTATTAAAAAAGGCTTAAAACATGTAACATCTATAAGGGGTCAATCAGTTTTTTCAATGTGTTTTGATGTGAGAAATGACCAAAAGATGGTTCCAGAATGATTCAGAAGTGGAAAAATGAATAAAGCAACCTCTCGGTTCAAAATAACCCAGGCAGGTGTTCAACTGCAATTGAAGCCCTAATAACCCCTTTGACCCAGCATGAACAACACATCAGTGTGTTTACAGTACCCAAATAGCCCATAATTATGACCCAGCCAAATGAACCCAGCAATGTGTTTATAGAAATAACCCCGCATTTTTTAGAGTGTACCTTTTGTCTGCATAGGTTATAAAGCAATGTATTGCTAATGAACGCAACTTATGCTAATTGGGCAGTTTCTATGTGCTGGGGACCCGTACTTTACATTTCTAACCTAACCTTGTAGGATTCTATGAGCAGGCACATAGACTGGAGATCAAGCTCCAAAAACACTTTTGTATACCCAAATGTAACTTGATATCGTTTGCAACTTTATGATGATATCTTTCAGTTCAACATCCCTGAATTGTACCACTGGCTAAAGCCCCAAAGCCCTATTGTGCGTATTAGAAATGATGATGACATCATCAGGGTTATTTTTACTCCTATATCATTTCAAAGCCTTAGCGTTTCTAACCATGAAAATTGAACTCTCTTAAGTGTTTAAAGTAGGTCATAAAATAAGAATGTACCTTAATGTGATAAATGCACACCAAAGACGCATGGTCATCATGCTCATCTGATGTCAGGAAGATGGAGGAATCAACACTGTTACTTAACGCCATTTGTTCCTGCTCAAATGAATGTTTTCCGCTGACATTGTTTATCCTTATCAATATTATAATATGAGAAGGAAACCCAAACTGATTCTGCAAAATAAACTGCAACCAAAACAAGATAACATGTGATTACAAACATATAGTTGTTGATATAGAGTTTAAATGTGATATGTACTGTAAATGCATACCTCTGAAAAGTATGGGAGCTCTATTGCACCAATGTAAATCTAACATCTAAAGTGACTCAAAAAGATGAGCCCTTTAACAATAATAACACACATCTTACATCAAAAGTACTTATATTGTTTTAAAGAGACAGCGGATCAGTAGGTGGTTTTCCAATCAATGCATCAATCATGAAAAAAAACTGGTCTTGGTTTTTCAAACTTTGTCAAACTGCTCATTTTCCCTCCCACAGGTTTGACTGAAGCCATTTTTCAGGACAATGCTCTTCAGTATGTTGCCAACAGCTCCCTGCTGAGCCCAGTGACCGACATCACTATGGACATACGGACACGTGACGAAAACGGGATCCTGTTGCGGGCCGCCAGCAGAGCGGAGGTCTTCTGCCTAGGGCTGCTCAACTCCTCCCTGCTGGTCAAACTGGACAGTGGGGCGAGCGCTGAGCTGCTGGCCTTCACAAGTGACAGAGTGATTGCAGACGGAGCATGGCATCACATCCAGCTCACCATGGTGGAGCCCACACACTCAGTATCCCGCTGGCGCCTCACCGTCGACGGGCAGAGATTCGGGGGTAGCTTCGGCGTTGGTGGCAACCTCAACTTCCTCAATGACACCAATGTGTGGCTGGCTGAAAAATACACTGGATGCTTAGGGGAAGTGAGGGTGGGGGGAGTCTACCTGCCACTCATTAACGTACCAGACGCCCCGCAGATGAGCCGGTTCTCCAGACTGGGTGGGCACGAGCCAATCATAGGATGCCAGGGTTCACCGATTTGTGATTCCCAGCCCTGTCTCAACCAGGGTGTGTGTCAGGACCAGTTTAATGAGTTTAACTGCAGCTGCAGTGCAGGATGGGAGGGGAAGCTGTGTGAGTTGGAGGTAAATGAGTGTTCTTCAAGTCCCTGTGGCTACGGTACATGTAAGGACCTTCTGGCAGACTACCAGTGTGACTGCCACAGCGGATACACAGGGAGAGACTGTAAGGAAGAGCTGGATAACTGTCTGGAGTTCAGTTGTGTGAACGGAGGAACCTGCATGGACAAGGGGGGGGCTCACACATGTTCATGTCCTCGGGGCTACGTCGGAAAACGCTGCCAGTGAGTACACTTTCTCAACAGTACATTGACATCCTTGTAAACTGACCACACATCCTGTTTTATTGTTAAAACATGCGAGTGATAGGCTGCTTATCAGAGATGTGTGTAAGATGCATGGACGGTCAGGAACCTTGGCATGCACTGGTTACCAGTGCGGACAGAATTTAGTCCAGGAGGGCACTGGCTCTGTGGATGATCGAGTGTTTTATCTCTTTGAGTAACGGTGTGTAACGGTAACCGTCTGAGTAAGTGCTGAGCATATGTGTCTATAGCTTTTATTGATTTTACAGAATCATACATTCATGAATGATAATCAGTTCATGTGTGTGTGTCCAACAGGTGGCGTTTCCCTCCAGTGGCGTGTGATGCAGACACTAAGTGTCTTAATGGGGGGGTTTGTATAGGAGGGGACTCAGGAGGCAACTGCACCTGCAAGCCAGGATACACTGGAGCCAGGTGAGAGTGAGCAACACACACTCACACACACACACACATACACACACACACACACACACACACACACACACACACACACACACACACACACACACACACACACACACACACACACACCAGCCGCTCAGTAGAAACCAAATCCGAGTTTAAAAGTCGGTGTGTGTGTGTGTGTGTGTGTGTGTGTGTGTGTGTGTGTGTGTGTGTGTGTGTGTGTGTGTGTGTGTGTGTGTGTGTGAGAGCTGCTGCCCTTCAGTCAGCATTGTATTAATCCCTTGTGATGTGTTTCAGGTGTGAGACAGAAATAGACGAGTGTGAGTTCAGGCCTTGTCTCAATGGGGCCACCTGCCTGGACAGACTCAACCACTTCCAGTGTGTGTGTGTGCTGGGCTTCAGTGGCAGAGTGTGTGAGAACAACGTAAGTTAATAAGATCATAGAAAATGTAAATCTGAGTGATGGATTTAATGGGTTTAATATTCAAGTACCCTTTAAGCCTAGAAAAGGAAAACATGATATACATAATTTGCATAAACAGCAATATAGCATCTCCATCCCATAATGTCTCCTTCCAGTGTAAAAATATTTCACGAGTTCTAGATACAATTTTGAAATTACAATTGAGAGCTCAAAATCCCTTAATTGAAATAATAGCATTGTATAAATGAAGTTGAATAGGTTAGAAAACATTATGGTTTATGTCAATAAAGTGTTGTTATAATGGCTCCTACTAATTAAACACAATAATCAAAATAATATTACAACTTGAGCGTGTTCACTTACTTTATAAGTGTAAAGAATACTATAAAGTGAAACTTATTTAAATGATACAACGTTGGTTGGGTTTCTGACCTCGCTTTTGTGGCCGATTGATAATACAAATGTCCCATATTCTCATGTCCGGTTTATTTTCTTCAGTTTAGTTCATCAGAAGGACCATTACAATGGACTGCTTGACCTTTGCCTTTGCGTGTCAGTGCGTCTGGACTTAAATGAATTCATTAACAAAACAGTATTCTGTAGAACTTCAAACCTAATGGCTAGCTATAAAATGAGTTGTAAATAAATGTACTCTGTCCAGCTCCACCAGAGAAAAAGCAACACTTGCTGGAGCAGAATAAACCAGGGAAATCAAATGGTTGCTTTTAACAGATATTTGTCACATGAACTAATCCTTCATTAACCATTAATAAACCCATAGTTACACATTATAGACAATCGATGATGGGTACAATATATGTTGTAAACATGGTGCGCTTATCCTCCTGCAGAGAGAGGAGCACACGGAGCGCGTCCCCTGGCTGGTGGTCACCATCCCCCTCACCACGCTGTGTGTGCTGGTGGCCATCCTGGTGGTGTTCTGCATGGTCATGACAGCGCGGAAGAAGCGTCAGTCAGAGGGCACGTACAGCCCCAGCTCCCAGGAGGTGGCTGGGGCCAGGCTGGAGATGGGCAGTGTACTCAAAGTGCCCCCCGAGGAGAGGCTGATCTGAGGCCAGAGGATGTGTACAGGGCTCCTGCCCTACGAGGAAGACATGGAGGATAAATCAATGACTGATCCTCCACCTGGGAACACAGTTTATGTCGAGGTCTCACAGATGGACAGGTGAAGACCAGAGAGAGGCTCCCCTGTCGGGGAGAGGTGGGGGGTGCTCTGACTCTAGACCTTGAAGAGTTGTGTCTTGAGGAATACTAAAATCAGGTCAGGACCATGTGAACAAAAGTCATTTTGGATTTTAAGAAATGTTGCACTGGCTGGACAACACTGAAACTGAACTCCACATGATGAAGGGGCAAGTATTCAGGAAAACCAATCAGGGCTTTCTTTAAGGGCTTTCCTTTCCTTACCATCACAATCCTTATTAAACACACATTTGCAAGACATATGTGTTTTTATTGTGAAACAGACGCTCATTTACATCCTGTTGTTGTCCTGCAAGAGGTCACTTGCTAATGTTAATCCCACATGACTTCAACTCTTTCATCAAAATGGGTTTGGCCCCTGATATCCTCCTTCAGCTTTACATCTGTGTTTTTGGTCTGCCTCAAAAATGTGAAGAAGCAAAAGAAGGAATGTATTTGTGAATCAAACCTGATGTTCTGTTTTGCTGAAACAGAAATGTGGAATTTTTACAAAATGTTCATGTACTCAGTTACTGAGTCATTTCTCCTTATTTAAGCTTCTGCAGTCTGTGAATGAAGACATGCAAACAGTTCATACGATGGAGCCTTACTCCGAACCCCCAACAGAACATGTGAATGAATGACTCAGAAACGGTATATTTGCTGTAATATATTGTCAATGTGCACTGTACAGGCTGCCTATCATTGGTCACTGTGTAAAAATGCTGTCAGTTTGTGTTGTGTATCATTTGATGCAAAAGTTAAAGTCACTGTATTTTTTGTAATAATTTCTCTGGCAACAGAACAGGATTTTTTTGTATGCTGTATGTAAGTTGTCAGTGTTTTTGGATATAAATAACTTTTTTCAGATGTCTAGAAAAAAGGAGAATTCAGCAAAGTCTAGTTAAATTGTATCTAATTTAAAGAAATGTCCTTAAAGTCAGATGGCACTACCCTCACATTTGAAGTCCAGGAAGTCTCCCTACTCACTCCCCTTTCACTCTGTCCTCTCCGGGGCTCCTAACTGAACAACCAACACTGCAGGAAACTGAAGGTTCTGATGTGACCCATGTATTGCATTTCATGAAATAGAACCGGTTGTGAAAGGAAAGTATAATGCAAGTCAGAGCTAAATATGAATTAGAGAAACTCTTGTCATTACTATTCAGAGTTGTATTGAATGCCATTTCAAAAGAGTGATATGTATGAATTTCATCATGATCTGTAAAGTTTTAGGTATGGGTTGGCATAATGTCAATAATTTTCTAGATATTACAGTTATCTCTGATTTATATAATTCCAATCTAGTACAACTAACCCAATATTGCTTACATGTGGTTAATCAGATACACTATATGGCTTAGTATTGAGACATCCCTGTCCAATGTAAAACCCATTCCTGTTCAAACATGACAATGCCCTCAGTCAACCCAGTTATGTACCTGACTGAGGTATTGCAGCACATCATTACCATGGTTTGAATAAAATACGACAAGCTCTCCAGCATCAGACCAGATCGACTAAGAGTCTTACTGTAATGGGCCTGTGGGAAGATGACAAGCCTGACATGCAAACGTTTATTTTGGAAGAAAAGAGAGACGAACGGGGACTGTGTTCCCTCAGATTCATTCAGATCTACTTGTAGTATTCAATATAATGACCCTGACCTGTGGTCGGAAAATGTGAACCTCACAATTATCATTTATAATTTTGACCCAGCCCAAATGTGTACCCGGGTCGGGTCTAAGTTCCTCAAAGCTGAGTGGAACCCATTCATGATATCTATTGTCTGTTTAATATCTTGTTGTTTTGTTGTAAATCCAGGAATTAGATATGGTTCACAAGTGGAAATACTAAATATTTATTTACGGTACATTTAAACTGATCCATACTGCTGCTTCTCTCTCTGAGGTTGTTACAACTGGCTACATGCATGCTTTAATACAAGTCAGAAATCACTAAATGTCCTCTCATGTGCATCATGAAACAACATGCATTCCTGCATCCATCAAACACAGATAACGCCTTTGTGAGGACTGTATTTCAAAGAGAGGTTAATGAAAGGAAGAACCTCAGGACACATATTCAAACTGTGTTTAATTCGTTATGGTATTGTACAGACCTATTGTGATATGGTGTTGTTACTTAACAGCAGGACATCCACAGGACAGCTTTGCACAGAATGGTAGTGATTTTACACTGGAGTTGTTTTAAGTAAAGCCGTACCACATCTACATTCCATGTTTTTTTTCTTCCAAAACAGGATATATTTACTTTAGGGAATAACCACAATTTAGATTATGAGTGATAGTCCAACCCAAGCCTTTTATTTATCTGCACTGAAAACACAGATTTAACAACATAACTCTATTAGGTTAGTTCCAAGCAATTATATTAAGTTGAACCTCATTTTTTGAAACGTATTATTATTGCTTTCAACTAACCTAATACAGTATTGGAAAATCTGTTGTCATAACACATTTAGTTAAAGTCAACGTTTCAGTTATTCAGTGCACTTCATAGAAACCTCTGTTTTTTAAGTGAATATCTCCTTTTGAAGTAAATCTCTTTATTAGTACTAAGTGTGCATATGAGGAAGATTTTGTGTTTAATGGTCATTTTGTGCATTTAGTTTGAAATGGCGCTTCAACTGAATGAATGTCTGCGGGCATGAAATGTGTTCAAAGAAAAATAAAAACAAAAGAAAATGAATTATCTTGATGGATGTGTTTTGGTTGATCCCATTCCCAACAGTAAATTAAAAAATACTCTTACAAGGTACAATATTTCAATGAAAATCGAGTGATGGGGGTAATGACAGAAACCTTACAATATACACAGCTTTTTGACTTAATTCCCTTCTAAGAGGTGTTACATTGAACGTAATGTGTAATTTGTAATAACACCGTCTTTTAAAAAAATAAGTAAATGTATCACTTATATAAAAATCATCAAGGCAACAATGTCTTCAAAATAAGAAAACGTCAATCCATCAATGATGAATTAATGACTTTACAACTCTTTTTAGGGTTTTAATGGACATAATTGTTTGCAATATAATATTTCGCTTCACCAGTAGGAATGTTTTTCTGGATTACCGCTTATAACTGAAGAAAAAAAACACAGAAACACTGATAGAAAAAAATTAAGTAGTTGAACTGTTGAACCCTTCAACGTTCCCCAAGCCTCCTTTAAAATAAATGTCCTTAAAAAATAAATCCCCCCCTCACTGTCACTCTCTCTCTCTTTGAAGCCCTGATGGTGCATTCCTCCGTCTCTCTGAGCGACTCCCACCCAGCTGGCTGCTGGCTCGGTCACTGCTCCTCCCTAATGAAGGCAAGTGAATCAGGACAAGCCTCCCCTCCCTGATCGCACAGTGAGGGGGCAGGGGGGCCGCAGATGCTATGGAATTGTTTTTAAAAACACACAGAGACATCCTGTCAGTCAGATTCAATGGAAAAGTTCTTAATTCACATTCAAAGATATCTTGATGAGCAGTATTCAAAATGCAATTAGATGCGATAATACTTTATTAGTCAGATCAAGTCTGAAGTTTTTCTTGCATCACAGTAGCTCTATTTGCTACATCAGAATCAGAATGGGTTTTATTACCAAGTAGGTTTATAAATACGAAAAATGTGCTTTGGCATAAGTCAGGGGTCGGCAACCCGCGGCCCTCGAGCCGCATGCGGCCCTTTAAGCCCTCTGATCTGGTTCCCTTGAGCTTAGACAAAAATAAGAAGAAAATAAAAGTATTTGTAGGACTATTTAAATGTTGTTGCATGGTTGAAAATGTTTCGTATCTTGTATTTTGAGGTGATACTGTGACACATAAATAAAACACAAAACGGTTTTAATTAGGTCAACTAAAATATGCGTCACATCCTGCTACGGTCCCGCGCCAGCGCCTTTTCCTGCGGGTGAATAACCTGACCCCCAGCTNAAAAGACTTCCGGCGGAAATGAAGTGCATTTGTGTAAGGTTATGGCGCTACCCTTGGTTTGTCGCGTAAACTTGTCTATTGATGAGAGTAACACCTACGTCACTTCCGGGCAAAAATTACGGCCCCGCCCACTTTTTGGGGAAAACAACGCTGTCATTTAAATGGCGGTCAATACAAATTCTGAAGTTTTTGCCCATCCGATCAATTTTTTTTGAAAACCGTGGATTTTTGGATCTTCAAAGAGCTCGATTACGATGGCCAGTCAGGCAAACAATTACATTCGATCATTGGTAATCGACAATCGGTCTTGATATATGGTTAAATTAAAATCAGTAGGCGAGGCTGTAATTTCTCCAGCTGTTACTCACATGAGTGAGGCAGAACATAATAGTTTTATCATGCCAAAAAGCTGCTGTGTCGTTTATTGCACCTCAAACATTAAAACAAATCCAGAGTTATGTGTTTCTGTACTTCCTCTAAGAAGAAAGGACAGTAACAGAAGATCTCTGTGGCTTCAGGCTCGATCGCCATTCAAATGACAGCCGTTGTTTCC